CAGGGTCTTGAAAGGTCGAATCCCATTCTGGTTTTAAAATATTGAAGAATCTATTTCCATTAAAAGTGCTTAGTTCAATAGCTTACTTTATTAATTGTAAAACTAGATTTTTTTAATCTGAGAGTATCCACCTACAATTTCTTTTGATCTAGATTCCTGTAAATAATTCATTTATCTTGATCCTTTTTGCATTTATCAATTTATCTTCTCATTTTCATTGTTACCGAATTGTATCAACTGCGATCGTCAATTGCAAAAATCTTCATCTCAATGACTTATATTAAATTTTCCTGATCTTCTAAGAAGTCGAATGCATGCAACTAGGAACTGGCACTAACAGACAGAAGTAGGCCAGTTTGAAGTGGTTGTCCCAAACCGAATCGTAACTCCTGTGAATGGGTCGACCTTTACATGAGGTCGGGCTGGTAATGGGCCTTTGTTTTAGGGCTGGCGAATAATGCACGAACACAAGTGCAGGAGCGACAAGAAATTTTATGGTGGAAATAATTAAGGCATAAGCTGACGCTGTAATATAATGCAACATTAAGTGAAATTTTAAGTACTGGAGAACAGTGTCATTTGGATCTCGTTTATTATTTTTCTAAAAAATATGAGCATATGGAAATGAAAATAATAATTCGAAGAACTGTAATATAAGCCATCATATCTGACAAGTTATGTAATTGAAAAAATTACAACGACGAAAATCTCATCTAGAGTCTATCATATTTAGAGCAGACGCAATGCGCTGGAATGTTTTGCACATGAGGCATCGTTGTAATACATATCAATAAATTTAAAATCTATATAGCAGATGTAAGATTAATTTCCGTCGAAATTATGTTATAGCTCCTCATATTTGACACACACTCTATTCGTTTTTAACAACGGTTCTCAAACTTTTTCAGGCTGGCGCCCCCTTTGGCTCCCCAGTGAATCTCTAGCGCCCCCCCTCCTGACAGACACATATAAAAACAAACGCTTCTTTTCTTGATATTTAGTATGATGCAATTTGAAAAGAGAAAGGGTTAAACACAAATGTATATTTTACAAATAGAACCCATTTAATAAACCAATATATTTTTTTAGCTTTAACTGTTGCAGCACTAGAAATTCAAGAGAGCTCGGACAAATTTGCGGCCGGTCTCGCAGCCGGTCTCACGGCCAATCTCCAAACTCAGTGACCAAAGAATATCTCCCAAACCAATGAACGCAGCTCGATAAAACTTGGACCACATATTCATTAGGACCTAACGGTGATGTTTAGCTGATGAAAATTTTTTAAATGTCACCTTCATTCGGGAGTTATACGGCGATACGGGCCGAAATTCGCAGTGATCAAAGTATTTCTTCCAAACTACTGAACAAATTTGAATGAAATTTTGAGTATAAATTCCTAACTACCAAACGGTGATTAATAAATCGTGAAAATGTATTCGGTCGGAGTCATGTTCTGCATGTGTTGTGTACAAATCGTCAAACAAACGTACGAACTTCTGACTTCGACTTCACGGACTGCCGCCCTCCTACTGCTCCTTTCTTCCTTACCGCCCCCCTAGATCTTTCCACCGCCCACAGGGGGTGATATCGCCCACTTTGGGAACCACTGGGCGTACAAGCGAATTAGTTCCTAAAATGTGTTCACAAGATTAATTATTACTCAGAATAAAATAAATGAATTCAAATTTAATTTGATTTGTGTAAGAATATTATTGAATACGTTTATTGAATATTATTGAATCAACGTTTGATATTCGCGTCATTCATTAATCGATACTAGATTGGGCACACTATTTCTATTGTTCTGAATACATTTTTGAATCTCAATTAATTTTCAATGGTTATCCAATCAAAATTTCTCTCTATCTAGAGACATTAATATGCCAAGTCAACGGGTTTTCAGTCTAGTTGCGTATAAAGCCAAAGTATGGTAATAGCAGCTTTATTATATAATAGAATGCATGATAATTACATTATTATTCGGTTAAATCACGACGCGAATGAAGCCCCGGGTTACGATGATAGGTCACGCTTTTATAACAGGAATCATCTCGCTTATATTCCACTTTCCCCTTCGCTTAGCACGTTGAAAGTACGGTATTCGTGAGCCCAACTGCACGAACTTAGGCCAGATTATAGTGATGAAAGTATTGGGCCTGATTATAGTGATGAAAGTATTCTCGTAAAAACTCGTGAATAATGCTCACCATGCATCAGGCTTTCACAGTTACCAACATTATTCATGTCACATTTTCATTTCTCGTGTCTACGTTTAGTGAACGCACGATTTTTACACTTTAAAATAGGAGGGTTCGTGTAGAAATGGTGCTACAAATCATCCTTTGTTGATAGTTTAAAAGCTAAATGAGATATCTGTGTGAATTGGACCATTGAAACATTCATATTTATGTAAAATGTACTATGAAATAACTTTATGAATTGTAATCTGGCAAATAACATTGTAAGATTACCCACAACACGGTTTTTCGCTGGGCCTCTGACTTTAAAGACTTCGTGCAAACCTCGAATTGTTCCATACTAATTATATAGCAATTAGCATTAACATGGTGGCTGCAAACCGCTTCTTTCCATCTGCCCCATATCCTCGAGTCTCGTTTGTAATGTTGTATAATTTAAATGGTTCTAAAATATGTCGTAATTAAAATAACCCGCTCAATATTATTATTGAATGACGATTTTCTTCATATGTTTCATAAACATTGAAACTACCCCACAAAATAACGACATGAGCTACGACAGAAAGCAACCGAGTGTAGAAAATGCTAAGTGATAATGATATTTTTCTTCATAATATCATAATACGTTGACGATGAAAGTCGAATTACGATGCATGAGTTCGTTGCAAAAAGTAAGTAAAAATACTGGAATTATAATTCTTTTCACTTTAAAAATTACAGATGGAATGTTTTCTGCGTTGAAATAGCTTTTTTTCTAAAGGTGAACGAATATTTTGTGTTAAGCACATTATTAAAACATTACGTAATTATAATAATGATAGAGGATATTGTGGATCTGTTTCCGAGAACAATCATTCAATAAGAATGCCAATGTAAAATGACAGTCATTTGGATTACTTTTCTATGATTTAAATAAATTTTTTGCTAGTTTCTTTTGGATTGAAATGCAACATTATGAAAATCACGACTGAAAAACTTAAAATGTTTCAACATTAATTTGAGTGAATACAGGAGCGAATGGCTAGGCTTTCCAGGCTGCAATTATAAGCGATAACTATTTTTAATTTAGGTATATTGCATACAAGTATAACTTTCACCTTTCATTTACGCCCAGTTTATATTAGAATGAAAGTGGTACAATTTCTCCAAAAGCCTACGACCCACCTATAAAAAACCGTCACAAAAAGCCACGAACAAGAAGCAACTTTGCAGGCAGCCAGCTGATACGGCGACTCTCTCTCCTCAATTTTCTCTTTAGGTTTTGAACAGCAGGAACACCACGCACACTTCCACTGCGACTGCTCGCAGCATACTGAGTCAACGCGTTGCCGACGAGTGAATTGTGAAGAGTTGGCACCCACCAACCGCAGCAGTCAGCCAAGGATCAGCTGCTGGAAAGCATGGAGTTCGCTGGAACGCATACAAATGATCGTTCCGGTCATTTTTCTCAGCAAAATTCCATGTTAATGACGGAGGAGTAATTTAATTAATACAAAAGAACCAAGATAATTTAATTAACAAACAAATAAATCACTCCTCGCTCATTATTTCAAGATGAATATCAATATGTCAAGTATGCACGACCCAGTTGGAATATATTTGTATGATGAAGAAATATGTAAAATTTTCTTGGCCAGAAATCACTTGTTAGTTTTCTTCACACAAGAGTCTCAAGAAATATCATTCCGTGCAAATGATACAAAGGTGCCACTCGCATAGCCAACTCAGACTAAATTGCATTAGTTTTCCACCTTTTAATTGCTCAAAAAGATCTCAGAACCTATACCATGTTTTTCATTGCATCTCACCAGTTAACTTCATTTAAATACTAACATAGCAGGTTGACCTGACGCCACTAGGGATAATATGTTGAAAAAGAGCTACCACGTGTCAGGTTAACTAAGAATCGGAGAAAGGCAATCATCTCTCGTTGCCTGGGCAACGAACTATTCTAGGGGCGATTGATGTACGTCAGTACCAATGCTATTCGTGAGCTCCGAATAGATCGCCTAGGTTTTGAATAGATCGTCAAATTCGATGATATACAACATCAGAATTGTCTAGGACTTGCGATACTACCCAAGTTTCCAAACTTCAAACCAACTAACAAACACACATACATATATGCACTCTAACATGAGCTTATTAGTTTAGAATGATTATAAGCTCTATTGACTAGGCGTTTCCCATTAGGTTGGATGTGGCCATTATAAAGAATAACAAAAAATATAATAATAATTTAAAGTAGCACGATAAAATACTCTTTGTGGATGCTCTGTCGATGAACATATACATTACAATCAAACATCACACAACTTGAAATGAATTTCCTCTAAGCTAAAGCAGTACTATATGTACTCGTTATAATAAGAAATCAATTAAAGGCACGTGGGTTACATAAAAACTATCACCCCATCCATGTAGTAGAGAGCCATGGATGCTATTTGATTTCGGGAAGTTATTTCCAGCGCTTAAATGAACTTCTTACACTCAGCCTTCACACTAGCAGGATATAATTGACTAAAATGAAAATGGAATTGCAATATCAAATCACGGGAGCAGATTGGGCACTGCATGCGACGTAGTTTTTAACAATCGTTACTTTGCCTACATTTCTACACGGCAATCAATGATGAGGGGTCAGGCGAAACACTTTATTATTTAAACGGAATAAGTCGTCGATACGGCAGTGAATACTTCAACTTTGGATAATGTTCAACCATAGCAACAAGCTTAAGCTATTCAGAAATAACATGGGGTTCTTCCAAGAATCTATATATAATATTTTGAATTTAATAAATATAAATAATTTATTCATTCAAATAGTGCGATTAAATATTTAAGTTGATTCGATGAGTGCACATCATCTGATTTTTACATTGGTGAGGTTTTACTAAAAGTTCACAATAAAAAATATGCGAAGGCATAATTTTTCCTTATGTTCTATAAGGCATAGCAAGCACCTTGATAATCACGTTACAATAATTGATGTACGACATTAGGCCACACGACGTGAACGTCAAGTATGGATTGAGAAACAATGCATGGCGATAAATCAACGCGAAAGCTATAACGGGAACACGGTGAGTTGATTGATGTATAGTGAGGTAAACATGATGACCTTGGCTGCAGTAATTCCCCTCATGGCTTTCGTTATTGACGACATAAATAACGAGCCATAGCACATACATTTGCGAGCGACAGACTTCGTTCGATTACTTTAGTACAGGACACAGCTGGCCTTCAGATTTTTTTTATTCATATAGCAGTATAAAATAAAAGCGGTTTAAATAAACAACACCAAAACTTGCTACGTTTTACACAAAACGTTTTAATAGTTTCTGCGAAAAATCATATTCCATATTATTGGCCGTGAAATAGACTTGTTATATGTGTAAAAATGAACAACACTGCCATGATATATAGGAACTCAATTCTATTCATCCTAGCTGTGCATCAATAGCTGTATCTACATTAGATTTCATATAAATGTGCATATGGGTATGCAATGTATGTACCTGAAAATTAATTTCTCAAACGCAGATACATTGAACGTACATTTGGCATAAGATCATCTTTCTAAATTAGAAATTATAAAACCACACGCACAGAATATTTTACCTTCCACTCGACACTATACCCTACACTGGTTGGTTGTTAACAGTGCCTCAGCTCGAAAAATTTGTCAACAATATGAACTTTGTAATAAAATTCTGTTATATTATTTAACTATCCTTCATTTAGCCAACTTTTCCGTCGATTCTTGACATCTTCCAAGATCTCGTCAACGAGTTCGATTGGAATTTCTTCTCGTGCTGCCCTTTGCCTCTGAAGAAATGGATAAAAATATTATATATTAGAAGAATAAAAAATATTTTTCGTAGTATGAACACGTTCCATGTTTACTAATACATAATAATAACTCATCATAACAAAAAATAATTGAGTAAAATCGTCATATGTTGCATAAGATAACAGCTCACCTCCAACATGTCTCCTCATATGTTGCAAGTAACAGCTCACCTCCAACATGTCTCCTCATATGTTGCATGTAACAGCTCACCTCCAACATGTCTCCTCATATGTTGCATGTAACAGCTCACCTCCAACATGTCTCCTCATATGTTGCATAAAGTAACAGCACACCTCCAACATGTCTCCTCATATGTTGCAAGTAACAGCTCACCTCCAACATGTCCCCTCATATGTTGCATAAGTTAACAGCACACCTCCAACATGTCCCCTCACATGTTGCAAGTAACAGCTCACCTCCAACATGTAGGAACAAGCCAACCAAGAAATATAAGCACAGACGGCGAAGGCGAAAGCCAATAATATTGCTGAACGTTGTCGTATTTTCGTCGCTACCAAAACGGCCTCCAAAATCAGGAAGATCGTGACGATTATCCACCAAATAATGAAAGGGATCATCAGTTTTGGCTTGTCCTGGTAGACAAAAAAATTATATTATTTAAATGGCATGGAAGCTAAATAATAGGCTTAAAGATCGATTGAGTGCAATATTAATCATTGTAATGCATTTGAATATAAGTTGATAAAGTAATCGTTCGAATGTAGGAAATTCACCTTCAAAATTGCGATGATGTAGGCGACACCAACTATCATTCCGAGAACGCTCAGTGTCAGGCAGCAAATTTCCAAATAATAAACTGGAAAATAAGTGAAGTTCTTTAACGAAAGCTAAAAATTTGATCAAAATTATTCACAGGGAATCCAAATATGTATATCTAGATTGAAGAGAAATTACCGATAATGCGAAATAGTCCGATTTAACCTGATCTAAAGCCCAGTTAACTGGGCTTTAGATCAGGTTAACACTTTATAATTAAATATAATATTAAACCGTACTGCGGCGTACCAAAATAAAAGTACGTCACCGTTTATTTTAAATTTATCCCATAATTTTATCAAAAAAACCCGAGGATTTTAATGAAATTAGAATATTTCAAAACATATTCTTATGTCCACCAGCAGTAGTAATGAGAACAAATTCAACTAAAGCAAACCAAGTTGAAAAAACACTTCTATAACTACTTTACATTTCAAATCAAGATAGATGATTATAATTTAGTATATAGTTGTTAATACACTGCACTGCTAGTAATTGCAAGCGATGGTGCAGGAAATGATTAATTACTGATTGAATTATCAATTTTAACTGAACTATAGGGTTATAAATCACAATAGGTTTCCTCAACAATTAAAGTGGCTCTCACCAAGCTTCTGGATGTGGTCGGCCAGTTCCTGGGCCACGCTGTCGGTAGCGAGAAGCACCGACGTCAGCACAGTCATTGCACACGCGCCCACCTACACGCAAAAAAAACAATATATTTTCATAAAATTGTTGGATACAACGTTAAAAAATGTAACTCAGTACTCACTGCAGTGAGTGACAGAGAGCGCATTTCCTCGTCGACGAAAACGTGAAGTCACGGACGGACGGACATGGCAAGCACAATTGTGCATTTTTTCATAAATGAGAAAATGCGCAGACGTAAATGAGCGCCATCTGGACCCACACGGAAGCAAGATATTTTCATCAATTTATAGGATAAAAAAAAATTCCTAATTTCGCGGCTACCTAAAGATATATGCAAAAGCATAAAACTTACATCACTTTGTAAGATACAACGAATGTAACGTCGTACATGAGTAAATCAGTATCACAATTCTTTAGGAAAATTCCTATGTTAAAAGTTAAGTAACCCAGATAAACATGAAATTTTAGTGCAATTTTGCAATTAATTCGCAGCAATTCATTTGAATTCAGCAAGTTTAATCTATCAAATAAAACTTTAGGTTGTGCCCTAGATTATTTCTTCCGAAGTAAAAATCTAATTCAGCCTTCCTGAATGGAGTAAAGGATGTGTCATAATAGCACATATCCATCAAATTCATTAATTTCCTATTCCTTACCGAACATCTTTGCTATGCTGTGGTATTTTTTTTAACTCACGTCTTTATAACTTCCAGGTAAATGTGAGAATCCTTTCGTCCGATCTTAATTTCTTGCTAACTGTTATTTCCTTTCAACGCTTTCTTTAGACGAATTCGTTCAATACATTTTAAATCGGTAACAATGCTCTGTTAGCAAGTGTCAACCGCTGTTGAACTGAACTCAATGTTTTGGTGATATTACGCCAAATGCTGAAAGGTGCTTATAAACATATCTCAATTAAAGTTTACCTTTGAATATCTAGAATGTGTAGCAAATTTGAAAAATGCTAAAGTCGTATCTATGTAGAACTATTCAAAACGCTAAAATTACTATATATATTTAGTTTGCTTGAGTAGGATTCATGAAACGACATTCCTCTACCGCATACTCCCATTAACTGATATCGAATTAACTATAATTATCTCTTCCGCAATGTGAGTTGAAAGATATTAAGCCACAATACGATTAAGGCTCGGTTGTTCACAGGCCACTGAAAATCTGTTGATAGTTTTGACTGAAAATATGCGGCACTCAGAGCAATCAAGTTGAAGGTGTAGCTTCTGCAAACACAGCATGTACTTCTCGGAACGACCTCGACCATAACAGCCATTAGGGCATCGATCTAGCTCTACGAATTAATATTCAGCGTGTGATGGACAGACAGCGCGCGGAATTTATAGAGGAAAAACCTTGCTCAAACACGATACCGTGTTGACCTAGAAAAATGTAGTGGAATGAAATTGCAAACCGTGAAATGAGTCAAGTCATGTAGAAGAAAATGATAAAATGCTTGGGTGAATGAAGTGACGTTAGAATTAAAAGATATTCCATCTGATAAATAACAATACGGCACAATTGTGTAATACATTTCGTGATGAATGTTTCAGTTATGGAATAAAATGATACTTGTGATGATCATAAAAAGTCTTAAAACATTGCAATTTGGATTTTTGTGATAAATCGAACTATGATAATAAATTCACACTGTAATTAATCAAGTTATGGTCCAATGCAACGATTTAACTGGATGCAAATGAAAGTTGAAATGGAATATCGATTAGTTAAAGTTATGTGAAGAATGGCTGAAAATTTTGTTTGAACACTACAAGAATATATTACGATGATTTAGTGATGAGTTAATAAGATATATAGGACAGAATTATCGACAACAATATATAACAAGAAAACCTACGTGTCTAAACGACTCTGAGGGAAAAATACTTGATCGATTTAATTCGTGAATTTGGTTTCTAGCCTTAATTTAAATTTGGTTAGTAGCAGTGTAAATTTGTACTCAGTGCGGGAAGCATTAATTGCAACTAAATAGTCATGATAAGCCTTGCAGTGGCACAGGCCTGTGAAAATAAAAAAAAAACCTACAAGCTGAATAGTTTAAATATTCAAACCACAAGCTCCACTTTACCAACACTCCCTATACCCACCACATTCACCTTCCTCAGTCAATAAATCAATTCATCACATTCACCCATCACAGCTCTATTAAAGTTTCGCTACTTTTTCTGAATAGGAAACTAATTGCACATTCAATAAGAAGTCACGAGGATTTATTAGTAACAGCATCCATACCAACGTTGCCCCATTAAACTCACAGTTGAATCTAAAAAATTCGTTTCACATTACTGATGCAATGCATGCCCACACTATGCTCGCAACACTCATGCCACAATTACACCACATTAACATCTTACTCGTAATACAATAATACCAAGTAATAGCCAACCTACACCACAATCTTTCATTATATTTATGTATATGTAACTAAAATCACACTCAAGCCACACACTACATTCGCGTGGTGTAGTTTGGTGAAACGTATTTGCATAGAAGGTATATACACCTCACTCGCACCTCGTTAACATCTCTACATCACATGAACATCGCACATACACCACGCTCATGCCACTGTTACATGACACCAGATTAACACTAATTCAGTATCACGCTAGCATAATGCTAACGCCACACAAAAAAATGATGGTATCTCACTAATATAACACGAGATAAACTGTTACCACACAAGTACCACACTAACACCACATACTGGTACCACACAAGCACCACACCAGTACCACACCAACACCACACACTGGTACCACACAAGTACCACACCATCACCACGTACCACAGTCAGGAGTCCGGCGATGATGCATCCAATTTTCTTGTGGCAGCAGCCGCAGCAGGATGACATCACTTCATCCTCCTCGCACTGACACGCTGACATCCTCAGGCAAAGCATTTTTTGTACATATGGTCCAAGATTTTTCTTATAATAACATTCCGTATACTTGTCCTCGTATTTGATGCCCTTTTCAACTTTTATTTGGACAATGGAGCTGTTGATATTCTATTTTGAGCCTACCCCTTATCTTCTTCTCGGGATAATGGCTATAAGTGAATTTCCATCAAATTTAATCACAGCAATTCTCACTTGAATTACACTCCCCATTTTTCTCTTATCTCTAAGGGAGGTTAGAGACGTGCTTCCCATCCAACGCCCAGCCCGACACTGAAGTTGTGAAGGCCGAGGGTTGATCATTGACCGATGGTAGATTGGCAGCTGGGAACTACGTATATATATTGTTGTTTCCATGGGTACAAAAGTTGGCAGGTAAGTGTGAAAAGGTCAATAAAAGAAAGACGACAAGTGCGTCCATTAATATGTGATAGTAATGGGTCGGAAAGGTAATTTATGACGTTACCCCATCGTATTATTAAGTATTTAATTATTATTTAGTCGTTCATTCCAGTTTTGACTTTTTGCTATCAATAACCGTGCATTTGCAAGCAAACAGCTGATTGGAAAAGTAAAGGTAAACGGAAGTTTTTGAACGTAGAAACTATAAATGTTAATTAGGGTGAATGAAAAACGTGTGGTATTAAAAAAATTGTTGAGCCGACAATTTAAATATTTGAGTTCCAAAAATTAAATAGATATTTCTCAAAAATAAACAACGAATCTGAAAAGATTTTTATATTCATATTATAGTTAAAAAAGAGGGTATGTATGTACTTAGAATGTATACAAAAAAGGTTTGGCATGCTTCCTTGATAGATTTCTTTACGATAGTGCGGTAAAACGTTTTTTACATCATGAAAATATTAAAATAACAGTAGTTTCGATTTGGAAGTAATAATCAAAATTGTATATATTATATTTAAAAATTATATATATTATATTCTATTTAAGTCCATTGCCAATCATTAATTGTAACGTGCGCGTTCAGTACTATTGACCAACTGTGGTTGAAAATTATGCAGACAGAGATATAATTATTTTGGAGAACTAAAGGCGTATAATATAGTAGGAATTTAACATTAAAATATTCATGTTCTGTGATGAGTGATTGAATAATTAATATTTCTTCATGAAAATTAATGTATTTTCTTGTGTGGTAAATGATTTATTTGAAATTTTGTGATTGAAAATTTCAGGATTAACGCAAGTAAACGTTGTGTTTGAAACTAAATAAGCACGCGGAGTTGCTGAGTAGGAACTACCTAACGAAATGGTGATTACACGTTAACTGCCTACCGATACGGCGATAATCTTGACTGTATGTATAAGCTCAACTTTTACTCATCGAGTTCAAGAAGCAAATGTCAGGCGTGTTATCCTTAGAGTTTTTCTTTACATCATCTTGATGGTATCACTATTTTAAACCGCATAAACATTTTCTTTAATCCTGATAATATTGCTTTGTGCTTTAATTTTCATCAATAACGCTGAATATAAATAGCATCAATTAGACTGGAACTTAACCACGAATGGACTTAATTAGTTAGCCAAACCAGCAAAAATTAAACTCTTTTCTCGCTAACGTGTTCCGATGAAGAAAAAGTATTTGTCTCCTTGCTCAGGATTCGCAAATAAAAGCTATCAGGCTTGAAAAACGTTTTCAAAATTTGCTATACCAAAATAAGAAGAAATGTTTGAATTTCACCCTGTGTAAGCCCTGGGCTATATGAGCAGCATAAAAGTAATTTTGAAAGTTTCTATCTGCCTCTTCGTGGCTCTGACGAACTATAACTGACCAACAGGAATCATCGAGAAATACAGTAGCATCGCAGGATTTTTTTTAAACCAAGTCAGTCGATCGGTCAGAGGAGCAGGCGTCATGCTTTCAGTGACCTGACAAATTCAACGCAAGTGCAGGGAGATCGAATCAAAGATAACGCCTATAGGTTTCACGGTGAAGCCGAATTCTTGTTATTGAACGGCCAGTTTTGAGGTTCGTTTACTTCGTCAGTACCCACGTTTGTCTGATCCCAGGTAAGCCAAACAGTCAAGAGAATCTGTGACAAGATTAAAAATATAGAAAATTAATTTATCATGAATAGTGAAAAGGTATAGCAACGTGGAATCTATTTGAAAGAGAATACGTTGTGTGAAGGTTGCCTCTCCATTTGATCACAGTGCCGATCGGCGCATCTTTCGTAACTGCTGTTTCTATTGAATTTATTTACTATTGAAAGGAAAAGATTTCAATGAAAACGACGAATCTTTTATTGTACGCCAGAAGAAAGTGGCCGAGCTGATTTTATGAACGCCGGTGATGAACATACTGCCGAAAAATTTTCAATTTTCAATTTCCAAAATATCAAAATTTCAATTTCCGTTACAGAAATTAAATTATTATTTTAACTATATTTGAGCTATTACGGTTAATATACTATAAAATATTACATGTATCTATTACAGTATATGAACGTGGTGAACGGCATGGAACAATTCAATAATATCTCCAGACATATCTCCGAGCCAGAGGTTGAAGTTAAAGTTGAGTTAATGGATATAATCCGGCAATTACGGACAGTTTAGAAATTATTTCTAGCAACTGCGAAAATTTATATTGCATATATAATATATATATGAATTTATTTAAAGAAAATGTAAGATTAATTGTATATATCAGATAGTGATGAAGGTCATCGTAGAGGTTAGTTTTGTGCGAATCTATTCTTCAATTTCTCTTTTTAATATTCAACGAGCGTATACTTGTTCAATTTCTTAGACATCATTTGCTCAATTCTCCTTTGTAAATTTCCTCGTTGTTTTTCTTACCAGTTGCTTATTCATTCTCGAGCGCAGCCATCTAGTCCTGTCTTTCAGAAACGGACTCACTCACCTCCTCATATATTCCGATTGCCGTTGCTTTGCATTTCCTGAGCACAGTTGTTAGGAAATTGGAAATTAGTAACCTTGCAGCAAAGTTTGGGTAAATCGATTCATTGTAATTATTATGATATTATCAGTTTGCGTGACCTGAATCATGGTGCTCGCTGAGATTCATAGAACACTTAGCCAACGCGCGCTTCGCTTCGTTGAATGAAAAAGAAAACTGTAAGTTGAGCAGCTTGGTAAATGAAACCATGAAACCGAGATTTCGAAATATTTCGGCCACTCAGACGCTCCCATTCACAACATTTACTCAAATTTCAAATGAAATGTGTGTGTGACACCGTAGTAATCCATTGAATTTGCTTGTTGATATCGTAACGATAGAGTATCTTAACTTTTACTATGTGTAGAATCCTCTCGTAATAGTTTCTTTGGGGAATAGTTGAGAGGCGTTTTCTTACCTGAAAGCGGTTTCTGCCAGAGAAACATTTGTTTAGGTGTTAAACCTTGTAAATAACATATGTTGAATCACTTGATAATGAATCGCTTGATATGTTGAATCACTTGCTAATCACTTGTTTTGAATGAATCACTTGATAATTAAGCAACGCTTTTGAATCGGCAATTGTGACTTTATAGCACCTATACCAAATTATTGCGAGAAAACTGGTATATGATTGCCGGCGAGAGATTGCATTGTGAGAGTATATATACAACAGACATGAAGTAATTTTTCTGGACCGTACAAATGGAAGAGATAAAATGGCCTACCGTGAACACGTCAGGAAATGTCAATTTTATGCATTCGCGAATTACATTTCTTCCTATTTATTCTGATGTTTATTCATTTAATTCTAAATCTCTCAAGTTGGCTACGCACCAGCACAGCAATTCTGGATTGTAAATTGAAATAAGGAGGAATGGACAAGTGACATATTCTTAATAATATCTTAATTTTTTTTAACAGACTGGTGCACTTCTGAATATTTAAACAGGGAATGCTCCCTCTGTTCGTCGTTTCTTTGACAGATCCTGGCAAAACACTGGACTCGGTCGCTAAGAGATATGAAAATTAAAATTTATCATTTGGAGCCTGGACTTCAGCCAATGACTTGGTCATGCCGATGCAAAAAAGTTAACCTTATCAAGAATTCTTGATTGTCCACGAGTGAAGTTCCTTTCCATAATTTTGTTATATTTCTGCTTCATGAAAGGCCTATTATTATGTAAACCACAAATTCTATTGAGTCGACCCAATCACTATGTTTACCTTTCCATAACATAACCAAAACGTTCTGTTTTGTTTATCTAGGACTTCTATTCAGTAAAATGTTTTATGCAACTTTTTTAGTTTTAGCCTTTATTCTTATAACCGAATTATACCTCACTAATGATAAGGAAAAGTTTCATCCATAGAGTTAAATCTTTTATGGGGCCCATGAAGTTGAAATTTCCCATCAGGCCCTTCAAATCTAAGTAGCATAGTCGCTCTGATTTTTAAGACCACGGTTTTCTAACATTTGTATTGATCATGTATCAATTTCGTTTGACGTAAAGTGCAAACTTTTTGAAGAATTCGCTGCATCTTAATTATGACTCAAAAAAGACACATGTTATCGTACAGAGCTATTATGATGGTTATTAGTAAGAAAACTGTTAGCAACACACAATAAAATTAATTTTTTTAAATGACTGATAGTTATGTTCCATTTCTATGTCACCTTTAGTTTGGTTTCATCTATGACTGCAAGACTGTCTGCAAAAAGCAGATAATCCACGTCTGATATGAGGAAAATTGAGGCTCACAGTTATTACATGTTAGGCCGTATTTCCATTCAGAAGGTTCTTTTAGTTCTCTGTCAGTTTCAGAACTATAGATTTTTTACTCATCTGTAAAGAATTAATTTCAATGCAACTAAAAGGGAATTAAGCCTCAAAAGCGAATCGATTGAGATAACTTTTTTCAACGGTAGTAAATTTCGCAGTGGGAACATATTCACTTCGACCGAAACGAACTGCAACAGTAAAAACATTCACTTCAATGTTGATGAACTTCAACCCTAAGAACATTCACTTCAACTGTGATGAATTTCAACAGTAAGAACATTCTCGTTACTACATCAAAACATTACAAGAGCGAGGACATGTATTTATAGTTTGTTGCTTCGTTTCTAAGGCAGCCATAAGCCCCCGCTGAGCCTGAGATAATATCACATGCAGTCCATGGCAGTGTCGCTTTGGAAATAATATTAAATAATAGATATTTGATAACTATAATTAACTGATATTATATTTAATTCACATTGTACATGAGAAACATAAATAAATATAGATAATATATTTATATATATGCTCTTGTAAATATTAGA